CAAAAGACAGCGAACCGATAAGACAGCGGACTCGTGGTTTAATAGTTAGGGCGTTTGCCTCTGACCGGAGAGACGTGAGTTCGAAACTCGAGTGTGGCGGCAATTTCCGCTGCTACACTTGGGTTGGGTATCCCCAGCTGACGATGGCAAATAAGCCGGAAAAGGCCTTCCTGGGAGTCCTCAGTCCTTGTCGGTAATACATAACATACAAAGGAATACTTCTGATCGCGTTTTCTTTGTTTGAATTTATAAGGGTACAGAAGAAAAAAAGAAAAAAAAAATGCACAATATGAAATAGTAAGTGCAAATTTTGCGGGTGTAACGAGACGCAAATTGTTTCTTAATCCGATCGGTGAACCCCTTACTATTATCATATTGCCAAACGCAATCAAAAAAGACAACGAGCCCGTGGTGCAATGGTAAAGTGTTGCACTCAATAACCAAAGGTCATGATTTCGAATCTTGGGGGTCGCAACCCCTGAGACTGGATATGACAAGTTGTTGACGGCTTATAAACCAGAAATGGCCATTCCGATCTCTCCTTTTTTTATCGTATCCATCCCATCGTGTCCTAAAAGTCACTTTACGACACTCTGCGAGAGCATTTTTTGTGAACTCTAGGGCACAACGGAACATAAAATTTTCCATAATCAGATAGCTGAGTCCCCTACGATTCGTGTATATACGGAAATGTCGGCATCCCGAGATATATAATTAGTAACAAAATAAGTTCTCTGGGAATCAATGATGTTTATTGTGTTAATTATCGAGTCTGGTCTCCCCAAATCAATATCCCCCTCACGCATGTCAGAATTTGAGTTAAGATTTAATGACATTAGTCGCTGACTGCGTACGCCTATGAAGATAACTAGATTTGAGTAGGGCTAAAATGATGCCAGCAATGTGTTAATCTGGGAGGGAGACGTCTCGAAAAAGTATTCTAACAGCAATAACAAAAGCCTGGTGATATTTAAAGTTAGGACTTACGAAATACCGACAGAGCCGCTTTCGCAGCGTCCAGATTTGTTCGTAGCCACGCAGACGTAGGAGCCGCTATCCTCGGGGATGCAATAGGCGATGTCCAAGATCACCACGCCCCGGTCCATGAAACTGCTGAAGCGACTACCTGTAAGAAGAAGAAGAAGCGTGGGGGGGAGGGGTAGAGGAGGCAGGGAAGGGGACTTTTAAAAATGCGGGCGATATCAACCCCCC